GTGTGACAGCATTTCAGTCATTGCAAATATTCTGTTAACAATGTAGTGGTAGGTGGTGCAAGCCACCCCTTGACAACCAAGCCCTAAATCATCAAGTAATGTAAGCTCTTTACATCCTCCTTAGAAAGAACTAAAAGCATAATGTGTGCTATAATCTGACAGGTATTTCACAGAAAAAGGTATGATATGGTCTGGGAGGTACCATCAATCAAGATAAAAATCCTGTGAAGGATGAAGAAAATGAGAGAGGAATACTTCCTGAGGGAGAAAATAAAAAGACTCGGACCATCTAATGAATCTTACAGGGAAAAAATACTGCTGCTTTAGGGGAAGATGCTAAAATCTTCTCTGTAGGGTGTGTACTACAGTCTTTTTTCACTCTATGATGGCAGTTGCAGTAAAGTTTCTCTGAGTAGTAAAAGGCTCCTACTCTTAAAGGAAGCATTTAAGAGGAAAGAAGACCCACTTCCCACAATCTTTCTAATCTCTGACACACTGTACACTTTAGAAAAGAACATTTCCACTTTACAATGGGAATATTAAAGTGCCTATGTATACCTTCCAGCATAGTATGATACATAAAAGGGGAGGACAATTAATGATTGATGAAGATAGAGTGGGAAGTAGTCTGTGGAACCCCAAGAGAAAGATGTAGAGCACAATGTGGTGGGAATTAGTAGAAAAGCCTATAGAGAAATTCTATCTGCTCTCCTTTTAGTTTTTCTTGTCAAATCACATACATGGCAAGTAATCATATACGATTTAGTTTTTCCAGTCTCCTTACTTGCTCCTTCCATCACTTTCATTGCTATTCTACCAGATTCTGCAATAACAATTTTAGCCCAAGGGTAATTGTTTCCAATAAATTTTGGCATGCCATCTGAAGCTCATTGGAGGAATGTTATGCTGGGTAACCAAGTGAGCAGCAAAGATGGAATATAAGGAAGTTTCAAAGGTCAAGGAAGGCTAGACATTGCTCAAATTGATTTTGAGAGAGTAGATGAGAATATACATAATCATATATATTTCATAGTATAAATATATATTAAAATTTCTATATTATAAACACATATATTAAATTACATTGTAAGATATAAGTGTTTTTTAGCATGGAAGTGTTAAAATTGTGTGTTACTTTTAGAGTCAAATGACACTTTAGTCACCTTCTTTTAATTCTTCAGGGGCATCTTCACCAAGTGCTGCAGAGATGAGATCATGCTTTTTATATTTTAGAATGGTTAGTCTATAGTTTCTGAATAAGCTTTCACATTTTTCTGAACAAAAATGGCTCAGAAGGGAAAAAAATTTTAGTAGGTTTATCTTTTGCATCAAATTTTGGTTTACTTTTAACACATAGGTTAGATTTAATATCTATTCCTGGAGTGTTAGTAGCAAAAGGAAGGAAAATTATTTAAGATTCCACCATATTTATGGAAAAATATATTCTAGTGTTAAATCATTTTGTGTCATGGTCAAACATGTAGAGAAAAAAAGCAAATGTAAAAATTATTCGCACAGATTGACATTCTTCTTGCAAAAGTTTCTAATTTGTCTGTTTTTTAAATTTTGTTTTGTTTCATTTTCCCCAAACAAATACAATGGCAGGAACAGGAGCAATGTGTCACTGTGCCCTTGCAATTTATGATGTTATCTCCCTTGAACTTTTTTAATTTTATTTCATTACTAGAAAGTCAGTTCATGAAGGCTGTTGTGTGTTTTCTAAAACTTAATGGCTGCATATCCTGGGCTTGTTTTATCTGTCATTAATATGATGAGGTCAGTTTTCAAAAATTTAAGAACATGCACTGTCAACTGTAGCAGTAACCCCTAACAATGAAATATAGTCATACAAGAGTTAACTAAGGTATAAACATGCAAAAGAAGTCTCCCTGTGATCGTAAAATGATGTTATTTTCTGTTCAGCAGTTCATGTTACTGCTGTTCGTGCTAATTAATTAAAGGAGCTGTTGCTCTAACGGGCAAATAGGGAATCTAAGAAACTGCGAGGGTTTTTAGGTCTCCAAGTGAAGTTAATCAAATGTAATGAAATCACTTGTCAGTGCTAAGCTTGCAAAAACTGTGAAGTTTGACTAGGGAGTAAAAGGATTATAATTAGATTTCCGATAGGATAATAACTAAATGGCAGAACACAGTAAAGAGAAAATATTACTTTGTTAGCTAATGGTACTGCTGTTCAGTTTTAGTTTTTATCAGTGCATTTGTAGCTGTGCTAATTTGCTTTTATCAGCAGAAATGCACTACGCAAATGGTACTTGAACGTCATTTGCAAAAATCATTGATCTGAAGGTGCACTTAATGACACCCAGTATGTTTATTTTATGTGAAACAGAGATTGGATGATAAGATGGTTAATGTGCTGTCTTGCAGGTCCTCAACTGAGTTATGTGAATCTAGGTGGGACAATATTATTGTACATGCTCCACCGAATCCTTCACCTCCATCAATAGTGGACAGAGCCATTAGAATGAATATGTATTCATTGTTTGATCACCTTAAAATATTCAGAAGGAGCTGCTATAATAGACTGCTAAAATAAGGGTTACAAAAGGTGGCTTATGCATACCTTGTCTGTCAAACAACATTCGAAGCATAAAAGACATGAAATAACTAAGCTAAAGAGATTTAGAATACATGTAAGAATCTTAGTACAAAGAATCTTTGTACTAAAGTCCATGTGATAATTATCATAAAACTGTATATGACTTTATTACTTTTAAAGGGGGCCAAGCAACATTCTTCCAAGTCCTCTTTAAAACTCTTTTAAGGAGATATCCCATTGGAACTAATTTAATTTCCAAAAGCGAGAACACTGGGTGATTGATAGATTTCTATCCAGCAGAGCTATTGACAATAGGAAGAGAAAAGTCTTCACTGATGCTGGAATTGTTTGCTGTGATAAAGATGAGTTTTGGAAATGGCACTGGATTGGCATGCCTGAATGACCCTCATAAACAATGCTAGCAAATACTTTTCCAAGATAAAAAATGGGTAATTGAGGGAAATGGAAAGATGAAATCAGTATCAAAATAAATCCCAAAAGATAAAAACTATAGCACACAAGAACAAAAGTAATTAGGAAGAATGAAAAAATAATGGCTAAGTTTGCATTTTATGTTTTCCAGGCATTATACATTTTCTGAAGTTCATAAATGCATATAAAAGTAATTTTTCAATACTGAACATCTTAAATAATAAGTAACATTACTGGGATTTTTAGGTAATTATTTGAAATGATTGATTTTGTGAACTATATGCAAAATAGTTCTGATAATATTTTCAGGCACCTATCCTACTGGCTAATAAAACCTGTTTTTTTTTTTGCTCAAAAAATAAACTTATTTTAGATATTAAATTGTGATTCTGCTGTCATATTAACACAAAGCATTCACTCTAGTTTTCCATAAATTGATGATGGGAACTTTATCATTTATAGTGCTTAAATGCTATGCTAAGAGAGATGAGAATGTGTACTTTTCCATTTTCATTACATTTATCAAGATTATTTAACATAACCTAAAAGGCAGATATTCAATAAGTATTAACACACCATACTTTACCATATATTGACACTATTAATGACAAATATTAGAGAATTTGATCTGTAATTTGAAAAAAGTAACAAAAGTTAATTCCCTTGCTTTAAAACCAATTCTATTTTAATCCTTTTAAAAGTGTACTAATTCCCTCATGTTTAGCCAGCAAAAAATAGTAGAACTTATTAAAAGTATGCTCAATGAAAATAAATATTAAATGTGTCCTACCCTAATCACAAATTAATATGCAAAAGCTATTCTTTGCAGATTTTGTTAAAATAAGGAAATTTAAACCAAATAGAAGGCTTTTGATTTATATCTAACCTCCCATGAATAAGATCTGTTTTTTGTTGCATGGAAATTAAATAACTTTAGGACGGTAAAAAAGCTTGTATTTATTTCAGAGTTGGGAAAGATGTTACTGCTGCAACTTAAAGGCACCATATACATTAAACAAACAGCAATGAATTGAAAGTATAAGATTAAAAGATAATAAAGATACAACCCACTGATGGTGTGTTTGCTTTAACCTCTCCAGTTCCAAAGCTGACCTTATATCCCATCAAAGGAGGGGCACAATCAAACTCAATGTTCCATAAAAGACTGGGTCTGTATTTGTGTGCCACAATTAAGAAGTCATCAAATGCTTCAGGCTTATTCAACCCTACCTTGGCCCACTATGTGGTAGCAAACTCAACTAGTGGTAGCCCACAACTAGTAGGGCTTTCCTCATAAATTTAACTGTGGTGAATTGATTGGACAAACACTGAGTCTCGTCCATATTGGCTTTGGTCACATTGACACAGCTTTTAAATTGAGGGAAGAATGCAGGCAAGCAAAAGAGGGATAAGAAATATCAAAAGCTTCACTGAATGAACTAAACATATATGCTTTCACACTTCGCAAAATTAACGCATTAATTAGGTCTACTCAACTGCAGCAGAAACAGGCATTATCAGAAGATCTATGAACTCTACATTCCTTGTTTTGTAAAAATGATGGACAAATCTACATGAATGAGGGTTTCTAAATTTTCTGAAACTGACACATAAATGGTGACACACAAAAGAACCCAAATGGATCTTTTAGTCACATCTGGTTTTGTTGCCTTCATGCAGATCCAGTCATCACACAATGGAAAGGCATTGATCAGTTAATCCTCTAGCAAGCAAGATATCCATGATTGTCTTGCTTTCTGAATTTAGGAAATCATTTTCTCATGGAGTTGCCTTTTCTTTTTTATTAGAGTGAGACATTTTTTCATATTAAACATAAAAATAAAGGTAATCTGCATACAAAGGGCTAGAAAACTGCATTAGAATCAGACTAGAAAAACTCCAGTGGTTAAATTTAATTTCTCTTTTCAGGTTGTTTTGCACTCCAGTGAAATTCTATATTGATTTGTTTCATCTATTCTCTTACTACTAAGTATTTTTAAAAATTTTAAAGGATCTAAGCATTTATGGGAATCCTGAGAATCATGAATAAGTCGTGGTCTTATTTCCGTATTTATATGGTTTCTCAAGTTATCTAAATTTGGTATTGGAATTTAGAAGTTGATAAAAAGTATTGTCTAAAACTCATTAAACATATTGATAGGTTATGATTATTCTACCTGTGGTTTTTACAAACATTAGTGAGATTTTTAAAAGTATATTATTGAAAAACTTTGGAAAGGTAAATTATATTCACATTTATGCATTTTTAGAATATGCCTAACACATAAATATACATCCTTTTAACAGCTAAACATACAAGAAATTTGCCCACATTGTATATGTAAAATTACTAGTCCCTATGTATATAATCACAAAAAACATTGAAGACTTCTGCCTCTGCCATAAAGTAAGAAGAATTAAACTTATTTCTTTTACTTATATAAAGAATATCAACATAGGAGCTCATGCCCACCCCATATCCGACAGTTATAGAGAGGAGTATGCTGTTTACTGTACCTTGCATAGCAGTACTATCATGAGAAGTCCCATTGTTGTCTATTTCAATGTCTGGAATTCCAGTATCTGAAAGAAGTGACATTCAAGATTAAGGTACAATTCTATTTTTTTCTGATTCTACTTAAAGTGAAACCAGTAATTTGGTCCTATAGATAACACAAGACCTTAGATGGAATTTTCGTTTTTGTTTTTGTATGTCTGTTTTTAATGGTAAGAGGGAGGATTATAAACTATAGCTGAATTGTACAATTTGGCATATAGTTTCAAGTATATAGTAAATACTTATTTACTTTATTCTCTAGATATAATTCTAAGGAAAATAATCCCCTCAGACTATCAGGTAACATGACCTGACTGTAGAATAAGAAAAAGATGGATGCAATTGCATAAATGGGACTTCCCCATTCTTATGCTATACTTTTCATTGTAAAATGTGATAGATGATGAGATTATCTCTATGCTAAGCACACTGAACACCAAAGCACAAGTTATGGTTTGGGGTCTTTATGCAGTACTGGCTATAAGGACAAAAAGATACACAAATTGTTTTTGAAAAAAATTTGAGAAAAAAGAAGTAGTTAGGTTTTTATTTTCAACTTTAAATATGAGATGTGATTATCTAAAAGCTATCCATATCCATGAAGCACAGCTTTATATGAGCATTTCTGTATATACACATTTGCTTGGACACTCTTGGGTAATGTGATAATAGATGCCAATGTATCACCCAATGCCATCAAAGATTAATATAAGAAAATGCTTTGAATACAAGGTACCCATCATGCTGTAGAAACAGTTGTTTTTCCTTCATGATAGAAAAGCTAGACCTAGATGGAGTTCAATTATGGGTGGATTTTAAATATGTGAAAAAGAAGTCAAGCCACTTCAGAATGACAAGTTCAGGGCCTCAAATAACAATAATGAGTGCACAGAACATATGTCCCATTGCTACTCAAGATGTCCCATTGTGTAAAATATTAATGTATAATTACTTACTCTTTTTTTTTCTGTGTCTCAACGAGGCATGGTTAGCATGAGCTAATAATCTAGCATTGTATTTCTATTGATTGTGAGCACAATGATCCAAGACAGTCACAGTAAAAAGGGAACTGAACTTTTGGAAAGAAAGAATATGACTCACATTTATAAAAAATTCTCTACTCATTCTTAGTATAGGACACTGAAGCACCCTTTTAGTTTTATATGTATGGGTATGTGTACATGTGTGTGTAAATTTCTTAGGCTTATACTTGCTGTACACACATATTAGTTAATATACATATGTATATTTAACATGTCAGTTAAAAATATAAGCTGTCAGTGTGCTATGAAAGAAGAACCTGAATATTCTATGAGATGAAATGATGTTGTGGGGTTTCATAATCGAAAATGTAATAAGAAAAATTTGGAATTAAGATATTTCATGACAGAAGCATCTCTTCTCATAAAATCTCCAGGAATGTACTTAGAACATTTTTTTTTTCATCCAGGCCCTCCTTAAACCCTCAACGCTGATGCAATCTACATTAAAGAAACCAGCATCCTATAACTCATTAAAATAGAGTATACCAATCATCAGCATATTTTAATATGAATGGACATAAAATACTTACATTTTAGGTGCAAGGAGTTATCAGTATTACTGCTGCTACTGCAAAAGTCAGCAGGGTTTCCTGTTATTCCTAGGCTTTTTGTATCTCCCAGAAGAGGGATTATTTTGATACATTTAATTAGTAACTAAAGCACTTGGCCTCAAATTGATTTTTTAATTATTCTTGAACAGAGCCTGCCCCTCCCTTCCTTCCTTCCTTTGTTCTTTCTTCCTTCCTTCCATTCTTCCTTCCTTCCTTCCTTCCTTCCTTCCTTTCTTTTCTTTTCTTTTCTTTTCTTTCTTTCTTTCTTTCTTTCTTTCTTTCTTTCTTTCTTTCTTTCTTTCTTTCTTTCTTTCTTTCTTTCTTTCTTTCTTTCTTTCTTTCTTTTTCTTTCTTCTTTCTCTTTCTTTCTTTTTTTCTTTCTTTCTTTCTTTCTCTTTCTTCTCCCTCTCTCTCTTTTTTAAATCGGGTTTTTTTCTTTGTGTACCTTGAGTGTGAAAGTCCAAATCTGACATTACCTTTCAACATCCTCAGGCCACTGTCACTACTAGTGGCTTGCCTAAGTGCTTGTTCCACTTGTTCCCGGCGCTTTGATTCAAATTCCAAGGCTTCCTGCAATTTTCTTTTGGCTTTTTTCTCCTTCTTCAGACGCTTTTGCATGGTAGCTAAAACATGAAAAAGTAAATGGTTGGCAAAACTTCGGCCAACAGTTGCCAGTTTGGGTGGATTATAAACCATAGATACAGATACAAAGAGACACAAATCATATCATTAGCTTCTTTTGGTTCCAGTTCTCATTAGATTCAATCAGATGTTCAATCATACAATTTGCTTCTTTTTGCTTTCACCTTTCCAGTGCATATGCTTTATAATAAACATACATTTGTATGGCAGTGGTAGTAGTGGTAGAAAATTATTTTCTACTTTCACTAACTACATGCTTGTAATGATAGCATTAAATATTTGATAATTTCTTAGATAGAATTATTGGACACCTGCAATATATTGGTTCATAGCAGGGTTTTAAGTATACCAATCTTCATAGTCTTTCTGAATCAGTTTTTAAAAATTGAGATATTTTCATTGTGACAATAGAAAAACATTCAAGAAACATGTAAAATTAAAAATTTTAAACATGTTAAAAGTGTTTACATATAATTAAAATATTTTATTGAACTAATTATGATGCTAATTTAAGTTTCATTTGCATTTATTTCACAGTTCAAGGTCTTTCACATAAATGACCTTCAGCAACTTGAAAAGAATAATTTACCCAGGTAAATTTATGTTTATGTGAAACAAAAATTCAGAAGTCTGAGGTAATAACAAAATTGCAAAACTTGAAAAAAAGACACTGAGAAAATATGGTTTCTGTTACTTTTTAAAATATTTATTTATTTTGAGGGGGAGGGGCAGAGGGAGAGAATCTTCAAGAAGACTCCCCACTAAGTGTAGAGACTCAGTGCAGGATCTATCTCACAACCCACAAGATCATGACCTGAGCCAAAACCAGGAATCTGACACCTAGCTGACTGAGCCATCCAGGCACCCCTGGGTTCTGTTATTTTTTGATGAAAGATTATTAAATGAGGTTCAACATAAAAATATTTTACTATTTTAATTATACCTAATTATCACCATTCATATAAAGCATTTAACAAATTATTTAAATCAGAAATCTAGATTATTCAAATTAATGTATAATTTAATGTCCTTAATAATACAAAATTTTGCTTCTGGTAAAATCATCGGCTCAAAAACATTCTATATATTGATTCCCTTGAAATTTATGATTACGTATATTACAAACAATGTCACAGTGAAGAGAGAAGCAAAAAAATGTGCACCTTTAGCTCAAAAGACTGACCTAAGTAGCTTGCATTGTTTCAATAAGGATCACTTATGTGCTAATTGCTACATTCTTAAAGGGTCTCATGACTGCCTGTAAACCTCACTGATAGTTACCATGAACTGAATGATAAGCACCAGAGAAATATCATGAAAGCAGTTTTATGAGTTGTTATTTAAAGAAGACATTTATGATGTAATACTCCCTGCACATCCCCTCCCTTTTGAGCACTAAGCGTATAACCACCAGCTTCATACAGCAAAAAGTACAGCTCTTTCTGCCCATGGGTCCTATCCCCATGCTACTTAAATAAACTTACTAAGTTGCACTGTAAAACATCTCAAGAATTCTCTTTTGACTGTTGTGCTCAACAATCCCACAGCATCAGCATATTACTTTAAATTATATAAATAAATAATAATAACTATCATTTATTTAGGATGTACTATATACTGAACATTTTTTCTGGGACTATATCTAGGTTTTTAATTGGAAAAAAATAGGAATTCTAAATATACATATATACACAAAACTATGTTTTTATATAATATTTACATATATATAATTACTATTCTTTCTATATACTAGGAGAGTTGTTACTTTTAACCATAAGATCAATTGCCCCCTCTTTCTTTTTCTTTTTTCTAATTTTATTTTATTATGTTATATTAATCACCATACATTACATCATTAGTTTTTGATGTAGTGTTCCATGATTCATTGTTTGTGTATAATACCCAGTGCTCCATTAAGTATGTGCCCTCTTTAATACCCATCACCAGGCTAACCCATCCCCCCAACCCCCTCCCCTCTAGAACCCTCAGTTTGTTTCTCAGAGTCCATAGTCTCTCATGGTTCGTCGCCCCCTCCAATTCCCACCCCTTCATTTTTCCCTTCCTGCTATCTTCTTTTTTTTTTTTTAACATATAATGTATTATTTGTTTCAGAGGTACAGGTCTGTGATTCATCAGTCTTAAACAATTCACAGCGCTCACCATAGCACATACCCTCCCCAATGTCTATCACCCAGCGACCCCATCCCTCGTACCCCCCACCACTCCAGCAACCCTCAGTTTGTTTCCTGAGACTAAGAATGCCTCCTATCAGTGAGGTCATATGATACATGTCTTTCTCTGATTGACTTATTTCGCTCAGCATAATACCCTCCAGTTCCATCCACGTCATTGCAAATGGCAAGATCTCATTCCTTCTGATGGCTGCATAATATTCCATTGTATATATATACCACTTCTTCTTTGTCCATTCATCTGTCGATGAACATCTTGGCTCTTTCCACAGTTTGGCTATTGTGGACATTGCTGCTATAAACATCAGGGTGCACGTACCCCTTTGGATCCCTACATTTGTATCTTTGCCCCCCCTCTTTCTTTTCAATCATATGACTTCAGATAAAGAGTTCACCCTTTGTCATAAAAAGTTGGTTATACTGGATATGAGATATTTAGGGACTAGAAAGGATTTTAAGTGATTATCCAGTTCAACTATTGGAATAGATGATGATACTGAGGTTTACAGAGATGAAGTACATAATTTTTTTCTAAATCAATGAGGATAACAGATTAGGTTCCTATAATTATGCTAGTCATTGTAAATAAATGTGAAAAACAGTGCTTAGCACAGAGCAAGTTGATAAGCATTAGGCAGTAGTAGTAGTACTAGTAGTAGTGGCAGTAATGATAGTAGTAGTGATAATGTGATATGTTATGGTAGTAGCAGTGGTATTATTATTAGATCATAATATGCCACATTTATTAAATACAAATACTTCAGAATAAGTTTGATAGTAGATAAAATACTGCATCTACCATGTCTAGGCCATTTTTATTTTTATTTTTCTTAAAGATTTTATTTATTTACTTGAGACTGCAAGTGAGCATGAGCTGGGGACAGAGAGCAGGAGCAGGCATGGGAGGAGAGCATGAGAGGGGTGTGGAAAGCGTGTGGGGGGTAGAGCATGAGCCATAAGCAAGGGAGGGGGTAAGAGCTTGAGATGGGGGGAGGGGCAGAGGGAGAGGGAGAAAGAGGTTGAAGCATGCTCCCCACTGAGCAGGGAGCCCAAGTCTGGGCTCGGTCCCAGGACCCCAGGATCACAACCTGAGCCAATGGCAGATGCTCAACCAACTGAGCCACCCAGGCTCCCCTACCATGTCTAGTCCTCTTTAAAAGACAATAGTTGTGATAATAATTATAAAGATAGACCTGAAGAGTCTATGAGAAGTTAATAAACCGAAATTGGTATGAGCACAACCCTAAAACTTAGAAGCCATTTTTATTCTATATAGTAGATATGCAGAAGTCAATCTGAGAATGTTATTATATTTAACATATGATTATTAGGTTCTTTAGTATAAAAATTATTCTACTAAAAATATGTGTTTTTATGACTGTTAATCATAATAATATATTTTGCATACCAAATGCCAGAAATAAATGATTTTTTTCTAAACTGTAAAAGACTAACTTTTACTTAATAGTATTTAATGACTTTGGCAAGATAAGGAGAGGTTTAATTCTTTTGTTTTTAAGATTTTATTTATTTGTCTGTTTATTTATGTAAACTCTACAACCAATGTATGGCTTGAACTTACAACCTTGAGGGCGCCTGGGTGGCTCAGTTGGTTAAGCGACTGCCTTCGGCTCAGGTCATGATCCTGGAGTCCCGGGATCGAGTCCCGCATCGGGCTCCCTGCTCAGCGGGGAGTCTGCTTCTCCCTCTGACCCTCCTCCCTCTCATGCTCTCTGTCTCTCATTCTCTCTGTCTCAAATAAATAAATAAAATCTAAAAAAAAAAAAAAAACTTACAACCTTGAAATCGGAGTCACATGCTCTACCAACTGAGCCAACACCCCATGGCACCCCCCATTTTTTTAAGATTTTATTTTTGGGTGTTATACAAAAACAACGAATCATGGATCACTACATCAAAAACTAATGATGTATTGTATGGTGACTAACATAACACAATAAAATAAAATTAAATTTAAAAAAGATTTTTTTTAAACAGGTTTAATTATTTTTAAATGCAGTGACTGAATTTATATTTTGAACCAGACTAACAGTGATTCCCAGGCCTTAAGGAAAATATACAGTAAGCTTTCAATTACTTGCCAAAATTTTTGGAATATAATATACTACTTTGAAATAATGAAAAATTAGTGGATTTCACTCAACTGGAATTATTCTTCCTTGTTTAAGGAGACATTATCTACCTTGTGGATTTTCTCTCCCTTTCTTTGCCTCTCCTTCCCACTCTTTAATTATTTTATTGAATTTTTACTTAGTGACCCTTCCATAGAAGAGTAAGCAGAGAAGAGAAGAAGTTGAAATTCACAGTCATCACTTTTGTTGATGTTTAGTAATTTATGGTAAATGTAAGGAAAAGGTGGAAATTATTAGCTGAAGTGAAGTTTTAAATTTTCTCTGGTTTTGATATGAACTAATCTCTTTACCCATATCTGTACATAATCTAATGTCTACCCATGGTTGGAAAGTTATTCTATTTGTGAACATTAATTTTCCATTCTCTCTCTTTTGTGTCCATCCTTCCTTATGCAATCCTTGTTCAGTCCTCACCACCACTGCCAGGAGCAAACTTATTTTACATAATTTCCTTGTTTTTAGTCTTACTCCAAGCCCTCTTTAATCTATTCCCAATACCAAAGTGGTCTAATTTAAATCAGACCAGATCATGCCCCCTGCTTATCTTTGACTACTTCCCATCACCTATAAGACAAAATCCAAGCTAATCTTTTACATGGTTAAAAATGTCTTTTACAGTTTAGCTTCTACCCTCATCTTTCTCCATCATCTCTTACAGTTCACTTCATAAAATTCAGAGCCATAGTAATAACAAACTTTATAGTTGTCAATGTATGAGGCTTCTTGCCTTCATGCTTATGCTCACTGATACCTCTATCTAGAATGTCCAAATCGCTCAGATACTCTCATGCCCTTTCTTAGCCTACTGATCTTCAGATTCAAGTATTAGCATCAGGAAACCTTCCTCAATCATTCACTCCCCCACCAAGCTGAACTAACTACCCCTTCTCTATATAACCATATATACTGTGCATCATTGTTCTTGCCACTTTGTCTTGAAATTAACTGGTTGGTTGTGCTAGCCCTCTAAAATGTAAATCTCTCAAGGATAGAGACTGAGTTTTATTTATCTTAAATCCCCAGAATCTAGCACTGTTCTTGGCAAAGATTAAGCATTTCATCTATAAGAAATTATTAGATTAACTATATCCAGGGGTATTTTGTGAAATTGTGAGAAAACTAAGAATATTCCTATTTTCCAAATCTGCAACTGGCCTGAAGTCCAGATCTATTTCATTATCTTTAATAATAAAGAGAAATAGCATAAATATCTTACCAAGTGGATTACACACAGTATTTGATTCTTAGCTTGTCATTTTTTTCAGTAGTTCCAAGCTATCCCTGAGAATATTTCTACTACTATTGAGAATATCTATAACAAAATATTTATTCTGTAATTGAACTTGTTAAACTTACTTCTGCTTTGAAGCTCAACTGCGAGTTGTCTTTCAAGGTTTTCTCTAATTTCTCTCTCTCTATAGAGCTCCATTCGTAGTTCCTTTTTTTCTTGTTGAATCTGCTTCTCCTGGATGTGAGCATTATCCAAAGCCACTTTCAGTAGGCCCTGTCAAAGTACAGCAAATGACATGCAGTTCATCTTATCTGTTTTAGTTTCTCAAATCTGAAATAATTAATGTAGATGCTAATGTCTTGTATTACATTTATTTTGTTTATAGAAATATTGTTGACCTGAATGTTGGTCAACAGAGTCTCCACGGAGGACAGACTATCAGCAAAAATGAACGGTCCAGGGAATCCAGGAGGCAATGCCTGCCCAGGAGTCAGTTGGATCTTGTCCAAGGGTGTCTTCATCATTGGAATTTGAAATGGTACTTCTTCTGGAAAAAACAAAATTATATCAGAATGTTCACAAATTAACAGGTCAAAATTTTCACTGTGTTTCCTTTACCTCTATAGCATCTATAAATATTTTGTTTGTAAAACTAGATGATGGAAAACTCTTAATTGGAAGTTATACTTATTCCCCAGCTGCTTCTAGTTTCTTAAAATAAATGTTTCAGTAAATAATCAGTGAAAATGAAATGACATTTACTGCTAAAGAGGCATGAGACTTGGAGAAACACATTTATGATATGTTTATGAATACCTATAAATTAATCAAATCCCCTCCTTGTAAAGCATACACTGTTTTTTTTTTTCCTTTTCAAATCTGTCATCTATCACTGATTATCTATCTATCATCTATTATCTATCACCTCCATTCTTTAATAGGTTTATCAAAGTATAATTCATACACAATAAAATTCACCTATTTTAAGTGTACATTTCAATGTTTTTTAGTAAATTTACACAGTTGTGCAACGATCATCGCAAATCTATCTTAGAACATCTTGATCACCCCAAAATACCCCTTATGCCCATTTACAGTTAATGTCCTTCTCCCACCCTCCAGCCCTTGGCAATAACTAATCTACTTTCTGCCTCTATAGGACTGCCTTTTCTGGATATTTTACACAGATAGATACAATATGTGGTCTTTTATGTCTGGCTTCTTTTACTTAGCATGTTTTTGACTTTCATCCATGTGGTAGCATGTATCAGTGGTTTCTTCCTTTTTATTGCTGAAAAGTATTCCATTACATGGATACATTGGTTTTTTTTGTTTAATTATTCACTAGCTGACAGGCATTTAGATTATTTCCAGTGTTAACTTTTATTTTGAAGACTACTACTTATGAAAAAATATTACCTGTGGTATAGAAACACAAGTTGTATCTTTTCTCCCCTTTTATTTTTATATTATCTTCTCCCACATTCTCATTACTTTAACAAGATTCTCTCTTAGTTTCAGATAAAGAGACACCAATAGAATTTTTGTTTAATAAGATGTTTTAAACAGATATATCTAATTACAAAAATAATCTTCTTTTACACTGAGAAGCTAACTACTTGACTATGTACTTGAATTCTGACTGGACATTTTTTATGTTAGATGTACGAACCAGACAGCAATTTTTTCCCTGCAATTATAAATTGGGACATTTTTGACATAGGTAAAAATAAACTGCTACAAAGTAATAATCTTAGAAGGTAGCCAAACAAATCCTGGTATTCTTTTTTTTTCTAATTCATCTATTTATTTGAGAAAGAGAGAGAATGGAGGGAAGGGGCAAAGGAAGAGTGAGAGAGAGAATCTCAAGCATACTCCTGACCTAGCACAGAGCCCAACACAGGGCTCAGTCTCATGACCTTGAGATCATGACCAGAGCTGAAATCAAGAGTTGGATACTTAACTAACTGAGGTACCCAGGCACCCCCAAAACCTGGTAATTTTTTTAGTTTAAATTCAATTAGCCAACACATCATTAGTTTCAGATGTCGTGTTCAACAAATCATCAGTTGTATATAACACCCAGTGCTCATCACATCACATGCCCTCCTTAGTGCCCATCACCCAGTTACCCTATCCCCCTACCCACCTCCCCTTTAGCAATTCTCAATTTCTTTCCCATAATTAAGAGTCTCTCATGGTTTGTCTCCCTCTTTGTCTTCTTCCCATTCAGTTTTCCCTCCCTTCTCTTAAGGTCCTCTGCACTGTTTCTTATATTCCACATATGAGTGAAACTATATGATAATTGTCTTTCTCTTATTGACTTTTTTCACTTAGCATAATAACCTCCAGTTCCATCCATGTCGATGTAAATGGTAAGTATTCATCCTTTCTGATGGTTGAGTAACATTCCATTGTATATATATACCACTTCTTTATCCATTCATTTGTTGAAGGACATCTCAGCTCCTTCCACAGTTTGGCTATTGTGGACATTGCTGCTATGAATGTTGGGGTGCAGGTGCCCCTTCATTTTACTATATCTGTATCTTTCAAACCCTGGTATTTTTAAATGGCTTCAACAGCAGTGCATGATGGGGTGAATCATAGCACCTCAAACAAAATTACTCTATTCACTACAGTCTCTTCATTTCGGTAACTGGGCACAAGCAAAGTTTGAAAATATGCATCTCCTTAGTCAAAAAAATTTTCAGTGACCCTATATATTGTGAGAGCAATTCAAGGAAAAAAAAACAAAAAACAAACAAACAAAAAAACCCTAGGCTTGAATCTGGACCTAACCAATTTTCACAAAAATTTAGCTATTGGTTCTGGTTCCAGTAGGGATAAGAATATGGATTTATCATATAGTTAGAGCTAATTTTTCAATTGCAAGCAGCCTATACATGTAGTATGCAGAGTCTTGAACCACACAGATTTCATAGTCATGGTTTGCTCCATAGCAAATGGTTTGCCCCATTTACTGAATGGGAAGCTGTGGCATAGAATTGTGGAAACCTTCTGTGAGATTTTTAACGGGACAGCATTATCTCTGAAATAAAATGCTTTTAATAGAGATCACCATTTCCAATTTCTTTTTTTACAAGTTCCAATTTTCCAAAATCTATATGGATAAAAAATGCTGAACAATTATTTTATAGAATTAACAGTTTCATATTATTTGAATCCAAAATGTTATAAAAAGCATTTGTTTATTGGTCTTAAAGAATTCAATAAAATGTATAAATTAACCTGTTAATTTTCTTTTAGCACAGGAAGCTATAATGAACGTATTCTTAGGAATTGTTTTTTTCATAAAACCTTAAAAATAATTTTTGATTATAAATGCATGATGCATGTGTTTTGTACAATTCCCTTGTAAAATTAACCCTAAACTCTTTCCTTCCCTCCTTCCTTCCTTCCTTTCTTTTTTGCCAGTGGTATTTTTGGAAGAGGTGAAGTATTCCAGAGGGAATGAGCACATTATCAGGAATTCTGTGATCTATTTCAACTGCAAATTTGGAACATTTGAAATATGTCATTAAAAAACTAAATTCTAAAAAAAACCCTAAATTCTAAGATGTTTTAGGCATCATCTCTAATGCTTATAAAGCACATTTCTTAACACCTAACCAAGCAATATTATGTCTTATTTGTATTGTTTGAAGTCTATATTTAGCTAGTATTTTGTTTTCTACACATGACAAGTTTATAGAATACTGATTTATTGATAATAGCTGGGGAGGTTTTACACCTTTGTATTGATGTTTATAAATCTTAAAGTATGAATTTATGTAGCCTGGAAGATCTATTTTTACAAAATGAACTGCTACAAAGTTAGAACATTGACATCCTGCTGATTCAGAGAGAATACAATGTTTCCCCTGAATAAACATTTTGTATGGGGGCAGAGTTCTTAAAATTAATGGATTCTTTGTTATATATCACTCTATACACAAGTAATCTCAGTGGTAAGAATCTGAGGGGTGTTCTACAAACAAGGTACCCAAAAATGAAAGCAATATATTCAGTATGCATAAAACAAAATTAAAACTACATTAAAATTCCCAGAAGTCTTCTATTTGGAGATGAAATAAATGCCATTGAATTGGCTGAAAGGAAAATTACTATTGACTATGAAGACAGGTTGCATGGTCTATGGATTGTAATGTTGCTGTACAGTAGATTGAAGTTTCAAAATAGCATTACTCTTCTTTAAAGAGATGGACACAGTTGAATCAGATGTTGCTTGCCGCAGTGAGGATCAAATGCAAAAAGAATCATATTTCATTGGACCTAGTCTACACCAGGAAAATAAATAGAAATATAAGAGGTATGCAGGCTATGATTCATTTTGATAATCTGGCCCAAGAGAGACACATAGAGACAGCACACAGATCTAAGCTTCTACCAAAAGACAAATAGGACACAGAGGGTGGGAATTGGGATGACAGTGTAGCAGAGGTCACATCGATTTTCACCAGCAGTTTTCACACAGATGAGATAACCCTGGACTCTATTTGGCCCATTGTTCATATCCTATCTGTCCCACAAGCAATAAATTTCCTAGACCTAGAAAAGGGCAGTAAAGAAGAAGGATTCTACTTATGACTTCTTATGATTAAGTTTCTGTGCTAACCAAACATGCTTTTTCAGACCAAGGTCACATTGCATGTTAAGGTCCATAATAGCCAAAAGCTAGTCGAAGCATATTATATTTTGGTGTACATGAGTGAAAAATGTCAAACCATTTGTCTTTTTTTTCTGATTTAAATCACATGCTACAAAAATGTATAATAAATGCATTAGAAATCTATTTCAATCTTTTAATAGGTCTTCACATCTGAATGACATCGACATTTTGCTCAGAGTTTAAAGACATTCACTGTAAAAAAAAAAAAGACATTCACTGTTATGTAGGAATTTATTCAGGAGGCTTGAGAAATCCTAATTGGCAATGAAATTAAATATGGACAAGTACTAGAACCATAGACTGTCAGCTAAATTCCTCTCTTTGTAAGCCAGGAAGAAAGGGTTTTGACTGAGCACTTTGATTTAAAAGGCTGGTGTTCAAAATGTGTATATTAAAATCTTTATCAACACACAAAATGCAATGGTATAAACTAAAAGATAAAGATAGGACAACTGCTAAATCTAGCTGAGGACATGAGCAACCTCGTCATTTATTCAAGAGAAGTGGAGACTGCTTTTATTGAGCCTGTTTGTTAAACTTGCTATACTTGGGAATCCATTTGCAGAACAAGCTCTTAATTTTGATTTCTTCTTCAGGGCCCAGATGAATAGATGTAAAAGTTGACAATAACTTTATTTGTATAAAAAAGATAAACAAATGGTAAATGCTCAGAATGAAAAAGTCCCCCCAAAATGAAAATCAAGACTGCTAGAGACTTCCTATATGAATGCAGTGCTTATTTTCCCACCTTTTCATGGAGTTCAGTGTTTCCTCTTTCCTCTGGGCTTTGAGGATTGTAATACAGGATGGGAAAATTAACAACACTGACTCACTTGGCAGTGGGAAAATGCAGC